GACTGTCTCTAACTCGAGGTTTTCTTAGGTCTTTTGGAAGCTTTCTCTTTAATAGTCCTCATGTATTCGGTTATTTTTAAATGTCTTGACTCTTTAATGTCTAGATTCCACAAAGAAAAAGAAATGGAGGAAAATGAGGAAGAGAAGAAGAAGGGTGCCAGTACTTTAAATTTCCTGAAAGCCACTTCTGCTAGAAGAGGAAGGACGCGCGATGATAGAGTCAATGCAACAAAGTGGTCACAGCCTTTGTGTCTTTGCCTCTTTCGTCCAAAGTAGCAGCCAGTGAATGGAATACAGGTCCCGGATATTTAGAGGGCAGGGTTCTCTTTGCCTACTCTGACAAGCTTTATGTCAGCTGTCCCAGGAACACATTCATGCTTGCCTGCCCAGGGTCAGTTTTCAGTAACCATTGGGTGTAAGGTTAAAATTGATCAAAACTTAGTTGAAATTAACTGCGGCTTTTCTGGTCCATTTCTTTATCTGGGAACTGCAAAACTTTCAGCTTCCTCTAGGGTCTCTAAAGAATCATACCAAACAGATTCTTCTTCATTTCATCTCCTTCTTCCTTCCCTCCCCCTCCTTTTTTTCTTTCTTTCTGAGAAAGCTTCATTCCATAATCCCATACTTCAGCTTCTCAAGTGGGTACATGAACGACCATGGCTAGGTAGGCTATGTCTTCATGTTGCTTGGGATCTGCCATTCAGCATGCTGTGAACATGATGGTGTGTGTGTGTGTGTGTGACATATGTGCTAGATAGGATGCAGCTCTTAGCCCAGGCTGGCCAGGAATTCATGATGTAACCCAGGCTGGCCTCAAAATCATGGCAGTTTTCTTTATTTTTTCTTTTTTACTTTCACAATTTAATTGATTGATTGATTTATCTGTAGTATTTTAAGCCTCTTATTCATTTTACATACCAACAACAGTAGCTCCTCTCTCCCCTGTTCCCTCTCCCCTAATCCCCCGCCCCCTGCATCCACTCCTCAGAGAGGGTAAGGCCTCCCATGGAGAGCCAAAAAAGCCTGGTACATTAAATTGAGGCAGGACCAAGGCTCTCCCTCCTGCATCAAGGCTGAGTATCTCATCATAGGGAATGGGCTCCAAAAAGCCAGTTCATGCACCAGGTATAAATGCTGGTCCCACTGCCAGGGGTCCTACAAACAGACCAGGCTACAAAACTGTCACTCACATTCAGAGGGCCTAGTTAGGTTCCATGCAGGCTCCCCAGCTGTCACTCGAGAGTCCATGAGCTCCCAGTAGCTCAGCTGTCTCTGTGGGTTTCCCTCATCATGATCTTGACCCCTTGCTCATATAATCTCTCCTCTCTCTCTTCAGCTGAACTCCAGGCGCTTGGCCAGAGTGGTTAGTTGTGGATCTCTGTATCTGCTCCCATCAGTTACTGGATGAAGGTTCTATGATGACAATATGATTACAGGGGAAGGGCAGTTCAGGCACCCTCTCCACTATTGCTAGGAGTCTTAGCTGGAGTCATCCTTGTGGATTCCTGGGAATTTCTCTAGCACCACGTTTCGCCCGAAATCCATAATGACTCCCTCTATCAAGATATCTCTTTCGGTGCTCTCTCTCTTCACCCTCACCCAACTTGACCATCATGGCAGTTTTCTTGCCTTAGCTGGGCGCTGGGATTATAGTTCACCAAATTCGGTACAATTTTTATCTAGGTGGGATGTTTCCTATACCGCACCTCTGATTCACCCAGCATCCATGTATAGTTTTTAAAGTGTAGGAAGTAGGAAAATCTTAACAGTTAGGAAGCAGCCACTAGGGAGGAGAAAAAAAAAACTAACAGAAGAGGGAAGATGCTGGATAGCCCCAAGTATCTTACAATGCAAAGCAATTAGATCTGGCTACATAAAATTTCCAAACAAATGGGGAAATTGAATCTTATTTGGGAGGATAGAATTAGGGAAAACTTTGGATTGATTTCAAGTGTAAATAAGAGGTTGAGGTAAACCGGTTGGTGTGAGTTTTAGGTCAACCTGGTCTATATAAGTGAGTTCAGGGGCCTGAGTTGGAGTGAGACACTATCTCAAAAAACAAATAGAAAAAACAGCAAGAAAGGGTGGGATTTAAACTTCTTAAATTGCCTTAAATGTTAGAATCCAACAGAAGGAACAATAAATAATAGTTTCTTGTTTTTATTATCAAGACTTTAACTTTTCTGGGGGAGGTACTGCTAAGTTAGGAATCCATGATTTCTGCTAATTTTTTCTGGAAACTTCAGAATAAGGTAGATAGTTCTAAATAGATTATGGTCTCTAAAATCCTAAGTGATATAACTTAATATGCAGTTCAGACTGAGTTCAAATCACCAGAGATCCTTCTGAGTGCTGGAATTGCATCTATAATCTGCAATAGCCAGCTACTAGATTAGTTTAAGACATTGGGTTAGGAATTCCCCGTTTCTAAAGACCTTGGCATTCGCAGGCAACACTCTCCCCAGACTGGGCCATGGGGAAAGCATATCAGTAGCTGTGTCAGGAGACTGAGGGAATATTAATATTAAAGGGCTTGTATAGGCTGCTGCCCAATTAGTGGCTATGTTAGGTAAGCCTCAGCTACATAGTGCCCATGGGACCGATGTTTGGGACTCATGGAATTTTTGTGATAGTATGATAAAACACTATAGGTATAGTTCTTAAACCATTTTAATAGCATCAGTCATTATTATTTACAGTGCTAAATTAGAACCTAGAGCTTAGCAAATTAAATGCAAGTGTTCTACCACAGAACTATACCCTTAGCTCCTTGAGGACTATTTATTAGTTTAGTTTGTTATTTTTGTTGTTTGTTGGCCTTGGCCTTGTTTTTGACATGGAGATCTCCATATGCAGTGCAGGCTAATGTCAATTCAAGATTCTTCTGCCTCCACCTCCCCAGTGCTAGGATTGCATGTAGGTCTACCAAGTCTGGCTGAACTTTTGTCCGTCCATCCATCTATTTATTGATTTTTCAAAACAGGGTTTCTCTGTGTAACATTTATGGCTGTCCTGGAACTCACTTTGTAGACTAGGCTGGCCTCTAACTCACTGAGATCCACCTGCCTCTTCCTCCCAAGTACTGGGATTAAAGGCCTGTACCACCATCACCCAGCTTCTGGCTGTATTTTTAATATGGCTTTAATAAACTTTGTTTTGCAATGTTTGTAGCATTGTAAAGAAGGGCAGAGAATTTCTCTACACTCCCACCCGACTTCCGGTGTTGGACTTTGATAATCCTGGGCTTACAACTTCTCAAGAAAGTTTGAGACACTGTTTGGGTTTCTCTACTCTCCCTTCCCTCTCAGGCTCTGCTTAGTATCAGATCCCAGGGGGAATCAGGGGTGCTAAATCTCTCTCTCTCAGTACTTCTTTGGAAAAGCTATAAAAACAAACAAAGAACACCAAGGACTAGAACATGTTGCAGAGCACAACTGAAGAGAGCACAATTGCAAACTCAAAAAACAGCTGAGTATACTGTATTGAGCGTGAGGAACCCCAATATCTGGGAGCTAGAATCTTGGGCACACTAGTATTTAAGAGTCCATAGTTCTGACATGGTGATGCCAGCTTTTAACCTCAGCACTGGAAGCAGAGGCAAGTGAGTTTTTGTGAGTTCAAGACCAGCCTGGTCCACCTAGCCGTAGCAAGTTCCAGGCCAGCCAAGGGTACATACTGAGTTTCTATCTTTAAAAAAAAAGTCCATAGGTTTCTCATTCATGGGCTCTGTGTTTGCTGGTCAATTGCCTGTAGATTAGAAAAGAAAGAAAGAATAGAAAAATCTAGAAATATTACATCTGTGCTGAACATGTTATATTTTAGTTTTCCTTGTCATTATTTTTCCAAACAATACAGCATAACATTGATCTATGTACCATTAAAGTATATGGGAGGATGTTCATGGATTATATGCCTATGCAAAGGAGCCTATGCAAAATTTGTTATTCACATGGGGTTCTGAAATAGAAGGAAAGCATATGTTACAATATTAATTATATTCAATTAAGTGTAAGGCCTTGGAACTGGAAATGTAGATCAGTGACAGATACTTCCCATGCTCAAGGCTCTATGTTATATCCCTAGAAAGAAAGAGAAGATATGGGCTCTACTGGTGCATACCTGTAACTATACCAACTGAGAGGTGGAGGTAGAAGGTCAGCAGTGGAAGGCCAGGTTAGATAGGAAGTTTGGGGCCAGTCATAGCTGAAATGATCTCAAAAAAGAATGTGACTCCGAAGCCACGTTATCCAAGTTGCAATTCCAGCTTTGTCACTAGTCATTGGGGTATGAGGTAAAGTAACTGACTTCTTTGTGCCTCAGTTACTTTTGCTGTTATTATTCTTTTTAATTGAAAAACTTTTAGGTGTATATGGTTGCTTGCACATGGCATGCCACTGCATGTATGTGGGAGTCAGAAGGCACCTTCAAGGGTCTGTTCTCTCCTTCCACCATGTAGACCCTGGGGATTGAACCTGAGGTTACCAGGGTTGTGTGCAGGTGACTTTATCCACTGGGTTACCTTGACAGCCTGATCTCCCTTTTTCTTTTCCTTTCTCCTTCTTTCTTTCTTTCTTTCTTCCTTCCTTCTTTCCTTCCTTTCTTCCTTCCTTCCTTCCCTTCTTCCTTTCTTTCCTTTCTTTTTTTTGTGGACACAGCTTCAGTCTGTAGCTCATGTTGGCCTTGAACTATGCTGGCCTAAAACTCAGGGCAATCATCTTGCCTCAGGCCCCCAATTGCTGGGTTTGCAGATGTGAGCTACCACACCCAACTAGTCACTACATCTTTGAAATGAAGCCAACAGTAGTCTCTGTTTCAAAAGTGTCTGTGAAGATTTTCATTACCATGTGTAAAGTGTAACCTTGTCTGTCCCAGAAAATGCTAGATGTGAATTCAGCTTGTTATTGATCTTGACCTCTAGAATGTAGGAGAAAGGATTAAATGAGCCATTAAAAATTCTGCCTGACATTGGTAAATGTTTATCTTATGTTTGATTTGAACAGAAGTTCAGCCACCTGTGACAAATTTGAGTGTCTCTGTCGAAAACCTCTGCACAATAATATGGACATGGAGTCCTCCTGAGGGAGTCAACCCAAATTGTAGTCTCAGATATCTTAGTCATTTTGATGACAAACAGGACAAGGTAAGTTTGCTAGAACATGTGCCATTGCTGGGATAAAGTGAACAAATGCTATGATCAAAGCAAAGTATGAGCCAAATTCTGATCTTCAAAGTGGGGATTTTATTTTAGATTGTTCCAAAATTTCCCCTGGGGAGAACTCTAGAAACAGCTACCAACAAAATCAAACATTTGAAAATATTTGCTAATTATTGATGATTAAATATAATTGATTGCTCTGATAGAAATTACTAGATATCTTTATGTATTTAGCACCCAATAAGTAATCAGTTCTGTTATTGCTAAGTTTGTTCTTATGTTCATGTCTGTGGGTCTGTCTTCTTGTATTTATATGACATCCTGATTCATAGCATTTTCACATTTAGCATCTTGCCACTCATGTATACAGATATGCAAGAACTTGGGGTCTAAAAGTAACTGTCATGAGCAAATGGAAACTTGAGATGTTAGTGGTTAGTAGGTTTACATTTCCTGGTGCCTGAAGACCATAACAGGGCAAAATTTAAACCTTGCCTGTTAGAAGTAATCAGCTGACTTAAATAAATTTTTGATGGCAGGATTGGATAATTAGGTTCTTCATGATACATCTATTCAATTGTTTTGTGAGTCTATAACTTCTTTCATTGTGTATGGTGAGACAGGTGTTTGGGGGTTGGACTTGAATTTTGAGGAGGCAGTACTGTCTAGACCTTCTGGAATTTACCACTGTGAGGCTGCAAATGAATGGCAAGAGCAATGCTCCTCTTCCTGTCCTTTGGATGCAACCTGAGTATTATGTATAGGGTTGTTCCTAGCCCTTCAGCCTGTTGGACAGGGGGTAGCTTAGGCAGAAGCTCAGTGCTTCCAAGTTGCCAAATGAGATCAAGTCTGCAGATTGTTAACTGTCTTCGCAGAGAGGCTTTTCAAGGTATAAGTGATCTGTAGCAAGCTTTTTTTTTGGTTTTACGAGACAGGGTTTCTCTGTATTGTTTTGGAGGCTGTCGGTTCAGCCCAGCCTCGAACTCACAGAGATCCACCTGCCTCTGCCTCCCGAGTGCTGGGATTAAAGGCGTGTGCCACCACCACCGGGCAATTTTTTTTAAAGAAAAGATTGTTATCACTGGTGTCCCTCTACCATTGTTTTATCCATGTCCAGTAATTCTCTAGTCTGGCAAGTAGAAGGCAGCTCTGGCAATGCATTTTAGGTTATCTTTCATCACCAAGAGATAGGGAAGTCCCGCTGGGTGAATAAATCAAAGGCCCTTCAGTCCAGGAATGCACAGAGGCATAAGCTGAGGCTGGCTCCCTTTCCTGTTGGGAAAGAAATTTTTAGTCAGGAAAGGTGTGATGGAGCCAAGTGGGCGCTTATCTTATTGTCAGGGAGATGGACAAATTCTGCACTACAGCTTTGTGCTTGGATAAATTTTACATAATCCCAGAGGGGTGGAGAATACTGTCATTATAGCAGCTACCAGTGCAACAATTCACCAAAGCTGAAAGTCACACATACCTCATCAGGATCTTCTGGGAGGAATTTAGTTTCATGTCTGATACACGGAGGCGTGTTTGACTTGATGGTCATTAATATTTAGGCTTCCTATTTTATTCATACCAATTTAATATTACATATCTTGAAATTGGAGATTTTCTCTGGGAAGCAGGTCTTTTGTATATCAGGCTGGTCTCTTTCTCATTGTGTAGCTAAGGCTAGCTTCGAGCTGCAGATTCCTCTGCCTTTACATCTCAAGTGCTGGGATTATAGGCATGTACCATCATGGAAAGAGACCTGAAAATTATTATCTTTAATTATTTGTTTTAGTATTCATATACCTAGAAGATAAGATTCAAATCTATGCTTGGAAGCATTTTTAAAAATTTAAACATGCCAGTATAATGAAACTCTTTAGCTCTTTAGCTGGATCACTATCTAATATTGTGAGAGAACTCAGACCCCCACCCCCACCATTATTCTAATTTATGATGTCTAAAAATTATCTTTTAAATAAAAAAGTATCGAAAGCTGTGATACTGGGGACTGAACCCAGGTACCACACTTTTGACATAAGTACTGTATCGCTGAGCTACAGTCTCAGCCCTGATTTGTGATGTTTACCAATGCATTTTCCCTTGGTTTCTTCAGAGAGTGACCCATTGCATCTCCCAGATGAGAATTAGGAATGATCCTTGGGTTGTCAAGACTCATTCAGCAACTTGTAATTGCTGAGGTTGTGAAGCTGACGAGACTTACACTGGAAGTCTTCCTGCCACCATGATTACCCTCTCCGGGATGCTCTTGAGTCTCATGGGCCCAGTCAGAGACCTCTCTTTCTCAACTTGCATTCCTTTCTGAAGGGACAGTTCTAAAATGATGAGGCATTCCAGGAAGACTTCTGTCAGCACTGTACTTTTCATCCCGGTAGGCAGAGCCTATATGGGAAGCCAAATGATAAGGAGGTTTCTTGGCAAGGAATCAAGAATTCCTTGTGAAAATGTCCCTGGCTATGAATAGCTGGAGGCCCCACTGAGGATAACCATAATTTTGCTGGATTCTCCATGTCCATGTTGTTAAGTCACTACCTCCTTTCTCTGAGCCAAGATTTTACTTGAAGAGCTCCATTTTTCCTGACCTACTGGCCCCCACTCATTCAGAGCACTGTCTTAATTGTGCTTAAGAACTATCCTGTCTCTATATGCATATCTTTGCTCTGGAATATTCATCACTGGTTTGTTGGCGACTTCCTAAGAGCACCCTCATGTCCTTGTTTCAGAGGAGACTGGAGTTTCCCTCATGCCCAACCAGCAGCAGGCGTGCAAAATGTCATACTAGCTACGTGACCATTTTCCCCCTCCTCATGACTGCCAGGAAATTATGAAAGGAAATACTATGGGAAACTCGAGTCAGAAACTGTTGCAAAACAGGAAGTGCTGTCTTTGGAACGCTGATTAAAGCCAGCTTCATTCTCAATTATCCCTCTCACCTCTGGAAATGTTAATTTCCTAGAGAGCCCTTTAATAACATTGTTCGAAGTCATAATAAGCAGATTTGTGATTTAGTCTTAGATTTCTGCAGTGTCTGGGGCCTCTGTGATTCCACAAAGCTTATTTATCTTTATCTGTGTTGCAGATGAAGCATATAAGTGTGTATAGCAATACTCCAAACTTGCTCAGACAACACAAAAAAGTATTTAATGGACAGTGTCTATTTGGCCCTCAATCCCCAGAGATCACCACAATGACTAGAGTTTGGATGTGGCAGTTTTTAACCTTGATCTTGATGGAATTTTGATAATAATTTTGCTTCCTTTCAGTTTGCTTATAGAGAGTTGATACTAGCTAGTACGGTAGACGTCTAAGTAAATTTTATGATAATTATACTTTTAAACATGGAAATGTATTTATCTACACTAGAGGTTTTCAGTGGCAGGTGGTAGTACTAGTGCTTGATGCAGGCTCATTATTTATTGTAGGAGAAGAGTGGGCTAACCTGTTCGTTATAGGATGTCAGGTACCATTCCTGGCCTCTATTAAATGTCAGTAGTGTCTTGCTTCTCTGCTTCAAAGTTATGATGACCGAAACCAGGCCTGAGACACCACTAAATGTCTACAGGCATGGTAGAAAAGCAGAATAACTCCTTCACAATCACTTCCCACACCATTTAAGAACTTAGTATTTTTCTTATACACTTGACTCTGCTAAAAGTTTGTTATTTAAGTGTCTTTTTGTGTGTTTGCTGTAGAAGTTACTTTTTTAAACATTCAAATCTCAGATAATTGCTCCAGAAACCCGTCGTTCAAAGGAAGTACCCCTAAATGAAGAGGTCTGTCTGCAAGTGGCATCCCAATGTAGTGCCAATGAAAGTGAGAAGCCCAGTGCTTTGAGGAGAAAGTGCATCTCACCCCCTGAAGGTAACAGAGAAGAATGTTCTCCCTTGGGATTTAAGAGCATACGCAATTGTTCAGTGTGCTCATGTTCATTAGTGATGTGTTCAATTCGTTCTCAAAGTTTTGCTGAGTCAAAGAAGTGTCAGGCCCTGTACTAGATGCTTATAAGTTTGAGGATGTCACTGCTTTGAGGAGCTCAAGACAGTTTTAATAATAATGTATACATAGTTAGAATGTTTTTTATAATATGAAAAATGAACACACACACACACACACACACACCCTCTCCCTAAGATGTGCTTTACAAACTTATCTGAAGTAAGTGAGGCATGCATTGTTATCCTGATGTGTTTCACAATGGAGAAGAGGATGGAATGACTTGCTCTGGGTCTTCAGGTTCAGTGTTTTCAGGGAACCTATAGTACTGTCTTTCTCATGACACATGGAAATTAGTTTGCTATGCAGAATAAATATAGGGGAAAGTGCTAAAGAAGAGTAAGTATGCTGGCCTAGCTTCATTACATGAGTAGTCAAAGGAAAAGCTCTTGGGTGGTGAGGATCATTGTCCCCTAGTGGGACTTCACCCTTCTTCCTCTTATATTATGTACAAGGAGGAGCCTACATTAATTAAAAGAAAGGCTACCAGACACCAGCTACTGATGTGTAAATCCCAGCTCTGCCAGTTAATAATTGTTGCCCCCATGTATATTCCTCATCTATAAGATAAGAGCACCTACCACCTATAATCATTGAGAGGATTACATTTGGTCTTTTCATTTTATCCTGGTCCTTTGTTAGGCTAGGTCGCATTTCCAGCTTCCAAACATTAGCACTACATGGCTTGTTGTATAAGACACTCTCTGATTTCCATTGACAAAAAACATATTATGCACTGTTTTTAAAGGTATAAAATTTAGAACTGCCTGGTAACTGATTTAAACCAGCTTGGCCATGCAAGGCACTGGTGACCCATGCCTTTAATGCCAGCACTTGTGGACCTCTGAGTTCTAGGCCAACCTAGTCTACTGATTGAGTTCCAGGACAGCCAGGGCTGTACAGAGAAAGCCTGTCTCAGAAAACAAAGGCAAAATCAGCTTGGCCTATTATATTAGGAGTTTAATCATTTGAAAAGCAAGTATGTTGTGACATAAAATGGTTCATGATGGTTCAGTAGAGTATTCTGTCAAGCAGCATGAGGGTTAAAGGTTGAAATTTTAAACATAGGCATTGAATTAATGTCGAGACATGATAAGTGAAATCTCTTTATCAGGAGAGATGTCCCATCAGGATGATTTGAGGCCAGGTGTGGTGGCATGTGCCTGTAGTCACATTATTTGTGAGACAGGAAGAATTGTTTGGAACCACGAGATTGAGCCAGTTTCTTAAAAACCAGCTAGAGTAACAAAAAATAACAAAATAAAGAATAACAAGAAATAAAGACAGTCATCTTGGTGATACACACCTTTAATCCCAGTACTCAGGAGGATGCGGCAGGAATATTACAAGTTGTGCTGCATGACAATTTCCCGGTCATCCTTGGCTACTTAGAAAAACCATGAAGAGAACACCTAAAACCACAATGTATAGCAAGCAACTATTAAAGATTAAATTAAGCTTATATTTCCCTAGAACTTCCCTAGATATGAGTCCTGATGAGAAGAAATGTAGGTAAATTGTGTCTTTATAAAAGGCTTGCCTCTCCCAGAGGACCCTAGTAAGGTTCTGAGCATCCAGGTTAGGTTGCTTGAACCCATCTCTGACTCCAGCTCCAGGGTATTGGATGCTTCTGATTTCTACAGGCTCCTGCTCTCACATGCACATAACCATATGTAGACACACAGTACCAACTGGTCAGCCCTGAAATCACACACACACAGGCAACAAAAGCAGACTCAGCTGCTTGTATTTATATATTTACACATACATATGTCAGCTTACTATAACCAAAAAAAAGAGGCCATCAATTTGAGGGGGAGCGAGGGGAATATGGGGGTGTTGGAGGAAGGAAAGGGAATGGTGAAATGACAAATTATATTTTAACTAAAACCAAATATTAAAAGCAATAAAATATAGGGACTGTTTGTATTTTTATATTCATTTAGTTCTTCTGTAGTCACTGCATTATGGTTGAAATATTATTTGACTTTTAAACCAATTTCTTTTGTTAGAAGAAGAGTACAGTTCTTTTAGAGATACAAAGAGAAAGAAAACTGTGAATGAATTACAATTGTATTTTTACTGTCCAGGATGACTTCTGATAAAATGGGTATGATATTAGGATTAGGCGGGTAATGACTTTCCATGTCAAGGACTCTTGCCTGAATATTTTAGGTGACCCTGAGTCTGCTGTGACAGAGCTCCAGTGCATTTGGCACAACCTGAGCTATATGAAGTGTTCTTGGCTCCCTGGAAGGAATACAAGCCCTGACACAAACTATACTCTTTACTACTGGTGAGTATGTATTACAGGTACAGCAGATTAACCCGAACACTGATTGTGGTTGTGTTGGGAGCCTTTGGAGTGAACCTTATTTTAAAAAAGAATAACCCATTTTTTATATGTGGTGGTAGGGATACAACTCATGGCCTTGGCTGGTAAGTTCCAGGACAGCCAGGACTACACAGAGAAACCCTGTTTCAAAAACAGCCAAACAAAACAAACCAATTGACCAAACAAAAAAACAAAAAAACCACCAGGGTCTTGCAAATGTCATGGCTTGATGGGACTATTATTTTATATAAAGGCAGTAGGTGGATAATTCATTATGAAACCCATTACTTGGTATGATAACTTAAAAACTAATTTGAAAAACAGGAAAGGGCCATTGAGATGACCCAGCAGGTAAAAGGCACTTGCTGCCAAACCTGAGGACCTGAATTTGATCTCTGGAACCCACATGGTAAGTCCTGTAAGTTGTTCTTTGACCTCCTCACATAATCCCCAACATGTGTACCTCCCACTGAATAAATACCTATAAATAAACGTAATAAGAAATTTAAAACAATGAGAAACAAAATAACCTACCAAAACACCACAAGAATAGACAGTTGAATAGAAAATACATCTACTTAAAAAGACTTCCTTTTTTAAAATGCCCATGCAACATATATATGGGAAGACCCCAGTATTCCTTTCACTCCTTTTCTCTCGGTGGTAAACTCTAAAGCAATATAAAAACCAGAAAACTGGTGTTAGCACAATCTACAGTCTTGTCATATGATGCCAATTTCATATGTACATGTGTGTAGAGTTCTATGCAGTTTTATCACATGGTTCCACCACTACAAAGTTCCCTTTTCATTCACTTCTCCTAAGTCTCTAACCTTTGACAACCACTCACTATTCTGTCCTCCATTTAAATAATTTATTTCAAAAATGTGTCACTGGAATGAAATTCTACAGCGCATATCATATAAAATGGGCTTTTTAATAAAGCAGTACAATTCCCTTGAGAGCCATATAGTACATATACACACATACATACATATACATACATACATACATGTGTGTGTGTGTGTGTGTGTGTATTACATTCCTTTCTTTGGCTTTGAAATAGGTTCTCACACTGTAGCTTAGACTGGCCTGGAGCTCGCTGTGTGTCCCAAACTGGCTTCAAACTGTGGCAATACTCCTGTGTCATCATGCCTGGCTGAAATTGGGGGATTCTTAAAAGCAGGTTTATTTACTCTTTACAAAGGCCCAGAAGACTTCATTAATTTGGTATTTGTATGTATTTGTGGAATATTATAATATGGTTCATATACACTATATGCAGTGATTGAGTCATACTAATTACCATGTTTCTCTCCTCAAATAATGTTATTTCTGTATGCTGAAAGCTTTAAAAATTCATTACCTATCTTTGGAATGTGTAATTAGCTGTTATGGGCTTTAATAGCCCTGCTGGCTGTAGAACATTAGACCTACTCCTTACCCCTTTACTGTGTCTACTACCAACTCTCTTCTATTTCTTTATCATTTGTGAGTATTGCATTAGTTGGGTTTCTATTTTTGTATAAAAATGATGAAAATGAGCTGGGGGATGAAAGGGTTTATTTTAACCTACAGTTTATATTCCATCTTGGATGGAAGTCAGGGACGGAACTCAAGTAGTAACCTAGAGGCAGGAACCGAAGTAGAGACCATGGAAGCATGCTGCTTACTTATGTGCTCCTCCTGGCATACTCAATTTGTTTTCTTACACAGGCCAGGACCATCTGCACAGGACCTCTTACAGGGACCTGGGCTCTCCCACACCAGTCATTAATATAGAAAATGCTTCACAACCTTGCCCACAGATTAATCTATTGGAAGAATTCTTCAGTTGAGAGCCCCTCTTTCCAACATGTCTAGGTTTATGTCAAGTTGACAAAAACAAAATCTAACCAGGGCAAGAATATTGAAGCACTGGACAGCTGGATGGAAAAAGGAGTCTAGCCTTGGGAATCTGTCCTCTACATGGCCTTTCTCTCCTTACTTTTCGATAAAACAGCTCTGAGAGAAATGCATCAATGGGACCCTGTCTAGGACTTCTGCAGATATATGTCCTGGAATATCAGATTGTGTGGTGATGTATTGTTCATGATCTAATAAAGCCACTGAAGATCAGAATGCAAAGCTAGCCACAACCATAGAAGCTGGGCAGTGGTGGCACACACATTTAATCCCAGGACTCAGGAGACAGAAACAGATGGACCTCTGTAAATTCAAGGCCACCCAGGGCTACATGAGAGTGAATCAGTCTAAAAGAGAAACAGAGCTCTCACCTTTAATCTCAGCTCTAGAGAGAATATAAGGAGCTCAGTGCAGTCTCAGAGAGTAGTCTGAGATTTGGTGAGGAGCAGTGCAGTCTGGGGTGCAGTCTGAGGTTTGGTAGATCACCTCTTCTGTCTGAGCATTGGTAGAGGTGAGAACTCTCAAATGGCTGGCCATGTTGATTTACTGATATTCAGCTTGAACCCCAAAATCTGTCTCTGGGTTTTTATTATTCGTGCAACAAGATTGTGGCTATGTCTCAGAGCATTTGTCCAACATGCATGAGACCTTAGGAAAAGAAAACAAAATCATCTTGGAGTGACTATTTACCTGATTACATCATGGAAAATATTTGTATTATATTAAAACACTCATGGGTAGATCATGAAACAGTGAAAAAGTCCTGTATGGTAATTTCATTTAGATTTATTTTTAAATGATATATAAAAATTATGTATGTTTATGGGTTACCATGTGATATATATCTGTAAAAACCAGGCTCAGCATGTCAGCCTCCACAAATCTCATGAATTGTTGTATGAAATCTCCCCGAAATGTCCTGGTGAGTTGCAGTCATTCTCCTCCTCATTGGTTGGGAGGGTCAGCCTGATAAGGTTGAGACACACCACAGGTAAAGCCAAGTGGTACAAAGATTACCTGGTCCATTCTGTACATTTGTTTTCCCTAAACCCTCATCTCCATGCAAAAGTTCTCATTAGAAGTTTTGCAGTTTCACTTAGTCATTTTTGGTACTTATTGAATCACCTTTTCTTAAGACTCATGTGGCTTTCTTGTACGTTCTTCAATATGACAGAGAAAGCCTCTTACCACCTGGCTACTATCAGCCTGTCTAGTCTGTCCCATCCCCCTGGATACTATCAGCCTGTCTAGTCTGTCCCATCCCCCTGGCTACTATCAGCCTGTCTAGTCTGTCTCATCCCCCTCCTTGGACCTGTGCCTGTCTTACAGCCTACATTGAATTTATTTCCGTTCTTTACACTGACTCTCCAATACAGAGAATAGTGGTATTCAAGCAGGGATATTTACACCGAGTAGTGGGAACTTTCTACCTTCTCTCATAGTCTACACCTTCCCCTTTGACCTAATGCCTCCTGTTTGTCCTCAGCTCAGCTAAGATGCAATTTCCTCTTCAGAAAGCCTTCTTTGACCTCTCAAGTCTGGAGACATATCCCCAATAGTACTTTTGCATGTCATAGTGCTCTGCACAGTGTATCGTCATTTCCTGTTTACTTAGTGGTAGTTCCCTTCTCCAGGCTGCAATCTCCTTTTAGAGCAGGGGCTGTGTTGTGTTTTCTTCAGTACTTGACACATCGGGTAGGTGTTCCATAAATCAGTTGTGAAATTCTTGGTAGGATCCAATGGTAGAGAACATTCAGGAATAGGATGAGGACTTAGAAACATAAGCAATGCAGGATCTCTGTAGTCCAGGAGTGAAAAAGAAGGATTGAGTACATCTGGCTTCCCAAAGCTTGCTAGCAGGGAAACAAACAAAATTAAGTCTTTAGGAGACACTTGGCTCTGTGCTGCAGTGAAATCCATAGAGAGCTGTTACTGCAGGCTTTAAAGATACCTTTGGAAATGGTAGTATCCCTGTGTTTATTATGCTATTAACCCCAAAGTTATCATGTTTGGAACCACGGGAAAATCCTTTAGAAGTGTGTGTCTATAGGAGGGGATTAGAAAGAGGGTTGAGGGAAGTCTTAAAATGACCTCAGTTCATGACAAACCGAAGGAAAGCAATCCAGCGATTACAGTAACGGTGAACTATCTACTGAGAGAAAAATAGGGAGATGCAGGTGCCCTGAAGATATGCTAGCAAAAACCAAGACTCAATGCAAGTCATACAATGTCCATGTGACAGTTTGAAAAAAATGCTCCCCCAAAAGGGTGTGGCAATATTAGGAAGTGTGGCTTTGTTCAAGTAGGTGCAACCTTGTTGCAGGAAGTATGCCACTGTGGAGGTGGGCTTTGAGGTCTTTGCTTAAGCTACACTCAGTGTGACACACAGTTGCTTCTGCCACCTGCTGATCATGATGTAGGACTCTCAGCTCCTTTCTCAGCACCATGTTTGACTGCACTCTACCAGGTCCTGCCATGATGCTAATGGACCAAACCTCTGAACTGGAAGCTAGCCCCAATGAAATGTTTTCCTTTATAGGAGTTACTGTGGTCATGGTGTCTTTTCACAGCGATAGAAACACTAACCAAGACAGTCTCCTTGGGATTAATTTGGAAAAGAATTCTTCTTCTCTGGGATGATGTAGGCTCAAGGTTGACAGCAGATACCATTTCTGTTGGCATTCAGCCCCAAGTTGATGCCTTTTGACAGGGCACAACCTATAACTGGACATGGCTCAAGAAGTGATCTGGAAAGTGGTGGTTTACTGACACACCAATGATAAGGTATCAAAGATACTACCTCTTGTCAATGTATTTCTAGAGCTGGTAATTTGTCAGAGGCTCTTTCCACAATATACATAGTGTGCACTTGGGCTGCTCAATACAGGAGATGCTAGCCATGTATGACTGTGTCTTAGTTAGTTTTCTGTTGTTGTGCTAAGACTCCATGACCAAGACAACTTATAAAATAAAGTTTTTCATTTGGTGCTAACAGTTCCAGAGGTTAGAGTCCATGACTATCATGGTAGGACAGCAGCTAGCCAGTCATGGTGCTGGAACAGTAACTGAGAACTCACATTTTGATCCTCAACTGCAAGACAGAAAGAAAACCAATTTGGAATGGCATGGTTTTCAAAACCTCAAAATCCACCCTCCGTGACACACCTCCTCCAACAAGGTCATACCTCCTAATCCTTCCCAAACTGTTCACCAACTGGAGATCAAGCATTCAAATATATAATGCTATGGGGGCCATTCTCATTCAAACTATCACAGGCTGTTCACAATTTAATTCAAATGAAATTAAAACCTCAGTAACTCAATCTCAGTAGTCAGTTCCAAGGTCACAAGTGAGTACTGTATTGAATGATGCATTTCTGTTGTAGAGTGTTGTCCTATGTCTTCTGCTCTCACCATCCCACAGCTTCTTCATTCTAGTGCCAGACTATGCGTGTGTTCAACCCCTTACTTGCAATGAGCCTTTCTTATCTCTGAGCCTTGGTTTTATCATCTGTAAAATGGGGATAGTGATAATAACCACTTCCAAAGGCTGCTGAGGGCTGTTATATGAAAAATGCTTGGAACGGTAACTGATGGTCAACATGGAAGTTTATGAGGGCTGTAGATATTGGTGTTTGTTGGTGATTTGCATTCCTTTGCAGGTACAGTCAACACTCAATGCTGCTCTCTTATTCCACCACATGGAACTGTCAGCAAGCCCATGCTTCCTCCTCACCTTCATACCCTTAGATTGTACGTTTTCAATCAAAATCCCAAAGGCAAGGGAGTCCAGACATGTTATTGATTAGCAAATGTGAGAAATGGCTTCAGTACCCATGTAGATCACATCACAAATAGACAGTCTGTTTCCCATAATCCCCAGTCAGAAAATGGGGAGTTTGACTTTGAATTTAAAATCATTTTTTTTTAAAATCCAGAGTAGTAAGTTGTGTCCCAGTTTGGTATTAGAAGGAACCTGACTTGAACAGCTCTAGTCTAGCCAGCTTGATGAACTTCAGGGACATTTTCTCCCACATTAATTACCATCAGAGTCCATGAGTATCTGTGATCTGTTGGGGGGACAAAATGAGAGCTGAACCTAAAAGCCTGTGCATTGCAGGAGTTCCTTTCATTGTATTTTAAAAGTCACATTTATCGCTAGCTTTTGTTATGTAAGAAAAATGTCATTAATAGCTTTAGTTTCTGTTTTGGTTGGAAAACATTCCAGGACTGTCTAATCCCAAAACTACTCATGACCACAACTTAATTTTTCCAAGTTTTCTTTTATGGTCCATAGAGACTTACAACGAAGAGGAAAGATTTTGTGCTTTTAGATGATCATGGTGACACATGCTTATAATCTCTGTACTTTGGAGATGGAGGCTGGAAGATCCTAGGAGTTTAAGTTTATCTTTGACTACATAGTAAGTTTGAGGCCAGTCTGGCCTTCATGACCCTCTGTCTCAACAACAACAGCATGAAGAGATGAACTATCTCTTGAAAGACATATTCAGTAACAAAACATTTCTTTATAGTGTTTGTAAGAGCAAATACATTACATTGTCATTAAAAACCTGATTTGCAGCAGGATTTGCGTTTCTGTCAGCGTTCTGATTCCTGAATTCAGGAAAAACTGCGGGTAATTTTGAGGTTACAGGTCAAGAGCTTGAGACTCTCGGGTCTTTGGTTGTTTTTAAAATAGGATCTTCCTTTTCTATAAAACCTTTGCACAGCTCCAGTTGTAAGACTTGACCCTGTATTGTACCAGTTCTGAAAAAACACAGTTCTGTGATAACTGATGCAAGGGCGGGGGGCAGGGAGAGAACGTAATGAGTGCATTCCATCCATGGTTACTTGGGAAGGCATATGAAAGACAGATGGTAGAGTGGACACTTAGAAAGTCATTGTGTGCTCGAATGCTGATCTGGCAGTAATGGGAGGTCACTAATAATGAAGGTCATGGAGACCAAATATGAAGTCTGAAACAGTGAGATCATAAATCAGGGGGTGGCCAGTGGGAATATCACAGAAGATGAAACTTCAAGAAAATTGGCAAACAGAATTTGTTGATAGGCTGTAGAGAAACAGGAAAAAAGGTCCTTTCAAAGTATCTAAGGAATATCTAATGAACTCGGAGTGGTAGAAATGGAAAGACGGAAAGACTGGCAGAAATGGCAGTTTGCTGGGGGAGCGGGTACACATGGTGTCTTCAGACAATTGCTCTGAGACAAGAGGGAAGAGTGAAACACTCGGATAGAATGATAAAAGTCTGGGATGAGCAGAGTTGGTGGCACAGGCCTTTAATCCCATCACCCAGGAGACTGAGGCAAGCCTGATAAATTCCAGTCCACCCTGACCTACACAGCAAGACCCTGTCTGGAATAAACAAACAACAATAACAAAAAACCCATGGAATCTTTGAAGAATTCTGCGGTGAATAATCAGGTTTAGGAATTCCCAAAAATATACATTAAAGTAGAAGGATGGGGGTGACAAACAGAATGAGTGGATAAGGAAATTGGAAGTAGAGAAGCAGAAGGGCTGAGCAGATGTTTTTTTCATTATACTGCTTATCTTGTAAGCATGAGGGTCTGCATTCACATCCTTAGAACCAACATTAAAAACAAAGCTGGGTGTAGTGGTGTATGCTTTTAATCCTTGTACTGAGGTAGAGAAGATAGAAGGATCCCTGGGGCTTGCTGATCAGTAAATGTAACCAAAACTCCTGGTTCAGTGAGAGACCCTGTCTCAAGATACAAAATGGAGAGCAATGGAGGAAAACACCTAACACTTCCCTCTTGCCTCCATGGGCATATGTATACACATACATGGCTACATACATACACACATAAACAGAAGTAGAGAAAAATATCATTATGACTCCCCACCTCTGGGAGCAGGGAAGAAGGAGGGGTACAATCTAAGAAAGCAAGGAAGAGGAAAAGTGTAACAGAGGGGAACCACTGGGGTTCAGTATACATGCATTTTCAGAAGGGGTAAACATTCTCATTCTGGCTTCAAAGTTTCTTCTCTCATATGGAAGAGTATGGTCAGAATTCCAGTACCCATGGCTATTGTGAACACCAATGCCCATCATCAAAGGACAGTCTTTTCTTCTAGAATATGAAATGAGCCACATTAGAAAACAGGCTTTTAAAATCTATCATGCCTTATTGCATACATTGCTTTTCAAGGACATTTCTTTATATTTTAAAATGATTACCCTTGTCTCTTGATTGTATTCAAAATAACACAGAGCATTGTTTTATTTTATCTTGTAGGTACAGCAGCCTGGAAAAAATTCTTCAATGTGAAAACATCTATAGAGAAGGTCAACGCATTTGCTGTTCCTTTAAACTGACTAAAGTAGATTCTAGTTTTGAACAGCAAAGCATTCAAATAATGGTCAAGGATAATGCTGGGAAAATTAGGCCATCCTTCAAAATAGTGTCTTTAACTTCCTGTGGTAAGTTTTCGAAGACTTCTTGGAAAGCATAGATAAAAGGTTGTACCATCTTTTGAATAGTTAAAACACATAATTGAAGATGATATTTTCAGTCTGAAGATCTTCCTCAAACAAGAGACTTCATTTGCCTACACTTTTATATGATAGATGCTTTCAGAAGCAAACTGGAAATGATACTTCTGAAACATGAGTACCACATGCCTTCTTCTTGTTGACTTATAAGTGTACAGTCAAGATTAGGACCTGTGATGTCTGACTCAAAGATCTTGTTTCACTTTGACACCCTGGAGGAGATGCTCACCTGATCATATAGTCCCTAAATAATCTTTTGGCCATAAAATCTTTGATGGGGTACAATAGCCTGAGGGTTGAGTTCAGGAATTTGCAAATGCTAAGCAATGCTCTGCCACTGTCCTATGCGCTCACCACCATATTCACAATGTGTAACTCCATATGGCACATGAATTGATCAGTCATAACATCCACAACAGCCATATCAGATAGTATTGGCTAAGTGTTGACTTGTTAGAGGCCAGTAGTAGTTTGCTTCTCTTTAACTTTGATAAATCCCTGGTGAAAACCAACTTGAAGAGGAAAGGGTTTATTGTCTCACATTTCTATGTCACATACCACCATTGAAGGAAGTTGAGGCAGGAGCTCAGGGCAGTAACCTGAAAGGAAGGAACTGAAGCAGAGACCATGGATCGAGGCTGATTACTGGCTTGCTCTCTTTGACTTGCTCAGCCTACTCAGAGGTGGGACTGCTCACAGCGAGTTAGGTCCTGCCACATTAATCATCAATCAACAAAGTGCTCTACAGACATTCCTGCACCTCTTTTTGTAAAGGCATATAGACCCATTTTGAGTGTTTCCTTACTTGTAAAATGTAATATATAGTTTCCTTTGACCTCAAAGAATTATCGTAAAAGCCAAAGGACATGAGGCATCTTAAGGCTTTTTGTAAATCTCCAAAGTAAAATAATGTCAGTATATTGGTTTGCTCGTTGCAGTAACCTACCAGGGAGCTCAGATTCTGGCTAAATGAGAAGTGGATGATTAATAGAACAAAGAGGCATCATTTGATAAAAGCTTATCTAAATTTGTAAGCAGAACACTATTTACCACTCCTCCAGATAGTTTTGGAAGTCAACTGTAGCAGGGGACCAAAGGCAGCTTAGTTTGTAGGCCAAGAGAGTGAGGTCAGGATAATTTATCACAGGGGTTGGCTGAAGCACAGCCTTCCCTTTTCCTATTTCTTGTTTGGCAGACTGTTTTAGGTAGGGTTTGAGGTTTATTTTGCTGTTCTTTCTGGAATTAATGGTGACATAAAGAATAATTCTTATTGACAAGAAGTTGGCTTCTGTGTTTTGTGTTAATTACCCATTATTTTCTGTTTCTTGTTATTAAGTATAGTTCACTCCTGCAAAAGTAATCTGACCTGGCTAATGCTTTCAAAATACTTTATTCTTAATTGGGATTATAATCATACAATGCTGAGTTTGCCATCATCGTCTTACACGCACAGTAGTGTTAAGTATATTCACATTGTTGTACAACAGATCACTCCAAGAGATTTTTTCTTTTCTTTCCTTTTCATTTTGAGGCAGGGTTTCTCTGTGTAGCCCTCGCTATCCTGGAACTCACTCTGTAGACCAGGTTGGCCTCAAACTCACTGAGATTTGCCTGCTCTGCCTCCCAAGTGCTGGGATTAAAGGTGTGTGCCACCATTGCCCAGCATCTATACGTTTTTTCATTATGCAAAAGTTAAATTATACCTATTAAACATTAATTCTGCTTCCCCACAGCTCTTGGCAGAACCATTCTGCTTTCTGTCTCATTGACTATAGATTCTTTAGCATTTCACATGAGTAGAGTCACAGCACTTTTCTTTTTTAGATTGACTTGTTTCACTTAACAAAATGTCCTCAATGTACAGTCATGTCACAGCCTGTAATGGAGATTGGGCTATTTTTTAAATTGTGGCCTTGCTTTGGCATCAGTGAGAGCTAGAGAATCTTGTATCCAGTATTTTCTTACCCATGTGGTGGAAGCACATCTATATCTAAGAACTCCTTTTCTTTATTCTGTGTGTCCTGATTCTACTTTGACTATTTTCTGACTAGACCTAGATCGGAGTTCATGTCATTTACCAGATAACCCCAAAGGCTCTCCTTAAATCCATTTTACTGGGCAGTTTTAAATACACTTCCTCTGCTAATTGTGGCTAATCAGAAATTCTCAAACTCTATATCAGATCATGTCAAGCCATTAAAAGCCATCAGCCCTATTTTGATTTCACTTTGTGAACCTTCATTATCCATTTTACATATATAATCACATCTTATATACATATAATTAAATAAACTTGTAGAAACTAATTTTCTTTCTTCTATCTTTCAGTGAAACCTGGTCCTCCACATATTAAACATCTTTTCTTCAAAAATGATGTCTTGTTTGTGCAGTGGAAGAATCCACAGAACTTTAGTAACAGATGTTTATCTTCTGAAGTAGAAGTCAATAGCAGTCAAGCTGAACTACATGGTCCTTTCTCTGTAAGTTTTCTTAGATTGTAGCTTTTTCTTGGAATATTTTCTTTCATTAGAATAATAATTAACTATCTCTTAAATTCACCCGCAGATAATGATGATTATAAAAATTTAAAATATAAGGCATGTTGCAAGTTTTGAAGGTTTACAGTACTATTGGATATAGGGTTTAAGTTGCTTAAAACATTGCTATTGGCTGCCATGTACCAGACACTTTTGCTTGCTAGAGCTATAAGGCAGTGAGAGTGACAGCTAATAAACATTCCTCTTTTTTTCTTCACGGAGATTGCTGATTGGAAAATAAGTATGTGGATTAGTGAACTGATTTTACAGTGTGAGTATTATGAAGAAAATCAAATGGGCTAGTTAGTTAGGATGACTAGAAGGGCCTGAGGAAATATTAGGTGGGGAAGTCACAAAGAAAAGAAGCATTTGAGATGAGAATAGAATGTTTAGCAGGAACTAGCTATATGAGGAATTGGGGTTAGAAGGTACAGCAGATTTTTTAAAAAATGGAGTCAGGAATGAGCTTGACGTGGTTGGAAACAGAAGGAGAAGGTGTGGCCAAAATAGGAAAAGAAAGATGTCTAAGCAACGGGCAGAGATGAAATCATGCAGGTGTGTAGAGGCTTTGGGAGGGACATTCTTTTTTCTTGGAGTTTGTGGCAGGAATATTTTCCAGTTGGAATAGTCAGTGTTTGTTGGATTACACATATGTCTGCTGTCCAAAAACCAATGTAAGACATACAAATTAGAAGTCTCTGTGGGGCCTTCACCAGAATATGGTGTAACCTTAGGGCGTCGGTCCCATTGTTTGATTTAAAGTTTATAGATTCTTGTGGATTTTGTTTCTTTGCTTATTAAATTTCAGTTGGAGGAGGAGGCTGGTGTGATAGCTTAGGGGTTTGCCTCTAAGCCTGATGACCTGAATTCAGTCTTTGGGACCCACACGGGTGGGAACCAACTCCTGCAAAGTTTTCCTTTGACCTCCACATGTGTGTAATAGCATTCGTATACCTACATGCACATGTGCACACGTACATGGGCACACACAAAATGTGATATCTACAAAACCTTTTTTTTGTGGGGCATCCGGATTTAAAATCAGATCACTCTAGGTGTGTATTTCCATAAGGTGGCGCCTCAAGACCATTCACTTTTTTGTTTGCTACCTGTCTGGGTCCTTTGTGCATTTGTATTTTAGAAGTCCTATATTAAAATGTATTATATTGGCTTTTCAAGGAGCCTGGTATCTTGCACATGGGTAAAATTTCTGGGTTTGGTTGTTTTAGCTCATTATGGAATTCTCCAAATGCTTACTAAAATAAGTCAGGGTTGACATTCTCTAACTCCACAACAGAACAGAGGCCTTCAGGCTGCTTGCAGATGCAACTGTGTAGTGATATACAGTCATTGGTAGTATTAGAAAGCATGGTGCCCCCATGCAAAAAGAAGTGATTTCTGTCGGGGGGGGGGAGGATATTTAGATTGATAACAAAGTGAGTATTTGGATCACTCCAGTCTTTACTCTCCCCTGGTGCTCCTGTGGGAAATGCAGAGGCATGTCCTGCTTCTCCTAACTCATTTAGCCTCTCAGTTATACCCTGCTATTTAAAACCTGATCATCCTATGCCTCTTCTCTTCACTGAAAGTATGCAGTAGGCATCAAGTGGTGAGGACTTTGTTCTGTTCTTGGTACTAACAACAACTTATATGCACCAAATGGTGACTATTTAGTAGGTGTATCAGTAAGTACTTTGTCTTAATTCTCTCATTTGAAATCACACTAAGCCTAGGGACGTATGCCCCATTATTTGATCCCTGTTTTACACTGGGAAAGTTTAGTTACACCCAAGGCCGTATTTCCAGTAAAAGATAGAATCTCAATTTAAGCATAAGGGGCTAGAGAGATGGTCCAGTGGCTAAGAGCACTGGCTGCTTTTCTGAAAGGCTTAGGTTTGATTTTCAGTGCCCACATGGTGGTTTAAGACTGTCTGTAACTCCAGTTCCATGGATTTGATACCATCTTCTGGCCTCTGTGGGCACCATGTAGCATACATGCAGGCAAAATGCTCTTGAGTAAAAATAAGAACTGAAAAGGCTTGAAGCCAAAGTCTTAACCCCAAGTTTGTGTCTTTAGCCACTGGATACCACCTCAGTACTTAACAGTAATAACTGCCATTTATCAGCTGTCTGGAATATGCTATAAAGATATTCACCTAATGGCTCATAAGAACCCATGTAGTAAGTTATAATAACCCATGAAATTGGTGTCATTGGAACACACTGTTTTGAGAAACTAAGGCTGAAGAAAGATTAAGTAACTTTCACATAGATGATAAGTCAGTATGACCTCAGAGGCCAGTCTCTGTCTTCAACTTGGACCAAGATTGCTTGATTCAATACTGTGTACAAGTCATTATTAAATAAGGACCAAGTCTGTAGCTCACCAGTAGAACCCTTGCCTAGCATGCTTGAGGCCCTAGGTTCAATCACTAGTCCTTAAAATCACTAATTAAGGTATTGTTGAATTAATATATTAATATATGTATTTTACTTTCTGAATTCAGGAAAACATGTACACCGTGGATTCTGTATACATTCAACCGGACTGTAATCTATTTGCAATTACTCTGTTTATGTGCTTGAGTTTAATGTTTTCTTCAAGCAGATGTTCACCAGCTGCTTCCTCCCTAAAATGCCATCAGCTCTTTGTATGCTAATTTTGAGCCTTGATGATTAGACCCTTCTTTCTCTTTCTGAAAGACTATTTGAGGAGTTGTTTGTTGGATTTGTGGTTGATGGAATGTATAAACTGGATCATGAACTCCTAGAATCATATGGGGGCATTATATTCAGAGATAAGATAGGAATTGTTTCCTTATACCCACCCCTTCCCTGAAAACGGTCTACTTAGTACTATGTGCCCTAATTTTCCTGCTCTCAGAGGTATTAGCAGCTGCTCACCCGTACATGAGGATTTACAGGGGAACAAGAACCTAGACTTAATCTACACAGTGATTTGCTAACTTTGGCTTTCATATGTTTGGGAAATGGTCCAGGAAAGAAGTGACATCAGTCTACAGTTTGATCTCTCAAGTGGCACTTGACATTTGTGATTTCCCAGAAGGCCAGTGGTTCCAGAAATAGGACAATGAGGCCACCTGCTTTTTATCTGGCTTTGTATGAACCACTAAAATGATAGTCTTGCCTCATTCGGCTGGCCTTTTAGCTCTTCAGAAAGGCTGCTATGGACTATGTAGTAAATGGCATTGAGTGCCAAAATTAATAGTGGTATGTTGTACTCTTTGCTTCACGTTTAAAAGTTTTTTTGACAGGGACTTGAGAGATGGCTCAGTGGTTAAGAGTAATGGATGTTGTTCCAGAGGACTGAGGTTCCATTCCAGGAACCCACAGATTACAAGTGTCTCTAACTCCAGTTCCAGGAGATCCAACATCCTCACATAGACATACATGCAAGCAAAACACCATTGCACACAAAATAAAACGAAATTATTTATAATTTTTAGTTTTGATAGAAGTTTTATTATTAAGCCTAAGCAACAGATTTTCATGCTTGATTTTCTGACTTTTTGAAAAAATTGCAATTTATATCTTAGTCTCTCAACAAGGGAGACTAGTCTCTCTTAAAAAATTGTAATGGAGGGCTAAAGAAATGGGTCAGTGATGTCTGGTGGTGGTGGCACACGCCTTTAATCCCAGCACTCAGGAGGCAGAGGCAGGTGGATCTCTGTGGGTTCGAGGCCGGGCTGGACTGACAGCCACCAAAACAATACAGAGAAACCCTGTCTCGTAAAACCAAAAAAAAAAAAAAAAAAAAAAGAAATGGGTCAGTGATTAAGTGATTAAGCTCATCTACTGCTCTTGTAGAGGACCTGTGTTCAATTCCCAGCAACTACATGGTAGGGATCAGAACTGTCAAAACTTGTAGAGAATCAGCACTCTCTTCTGATTTCTGTTGGCTCTTGCCCATACATGGTGCACATACATACTCTCAGACAAACACATCAAATAAACAACTTAAAAACTCGGTGATGGAATACAATTCACTCTAGAAAAAAGTAGATAAGTCATGATATACATGACAATGATTTTTCATAAGTTATTTTTATTTATTTGCATGTTTTTGTTTTTAGGAAACAGAGTTTCAAGCCCACTGTGTAGCTGAAGCTGGCGTTGAACCCCTGGGCCTCCTTCCTCTGCCTTCCAAGTACTGAAATTATAGGCATGTTCTTCTACAAACAGCTTCAGAAATGAACTTTACAAATCACCTTTCACCTCTCTATAGCCAACACCATAGAAATCCCCTCATTATCTCTTCTAGGTGTTGTATTCCTAAAGGAAAACTATTATCAAAACTTCTAATCTTGTAGATTTGTTTGTTGCTACCATTTAAACTTTCTTGGCATGCTAGCCATGTCTATATTTCCAGCTACTCAGAGGGCTGAGAAGAGACTTGCTTGCCCAGGGGGTTGAGATCAACCTAGGCAATGGAGCAAGTTTCTGTCTCTGTATGTTTCTTTCTCTCTCTCAATCAATAAATTCTTTCTATAAAAAGAATTACAGAGAACATATTTGGACAGTAGCAATGCTTGTCATTTTACCACCAATACCAGAACATGTTTTTGTGAGTTTGTCTTCTTTCATTCAACATAAATTTTACAAGATTTTTTCCAGTAGTTGTATATATTGTTATTTCTATTTCATTTACACTTCTCTGATGACCACTGAAGTTAAGAACTTTTTCGTATTTATTGTCCATGTGCATATCTTCTTATGAGTTGGCTCTTCAGATCATATTCCAATTCTCCTATTGTGCGGTCTTTCATTAATATGTAGAGACAAACATATTTACAGCCTTTGTTAGAGATTACATAATATGTTTTCTTCTCTACATTGCCTGTTTGTCTCCTTAATAGGTTGTGGTTTTCAGTTTTAACACTTTAGAAAATATTTATGTTTCATGGGTGCTACTTAACAAGTCTTTTCCTCTTTCAGAGTTATGTAGATGGTTCATCTGATGGCTTGCTATATTTACATGTTTATATCTGGTCATTTTTTCCATTCATTTATGTGTGGTGTAGATGTGTGTTTGCATGTGTGGAGGCCCGAGGTTGACATTGCAAACATCTTTTATCATTCGTCCACTTTATTAATTGAAAAAATATGACCTCTCAGTCAAATCCAGAGCTCATTGATATAGCTAGTTTCCAGGTTTGTATGGTAATCCTCTGGCTCACTTATAAAGTTAGTCTCCAGATTGCTATGGGCAATCCTCTTGTCTCCATCTTTCTAGAGCTGGAATTATAGGTGGACACTACACCCACCCACGCAGTGTTACTTGTGCTCTACTGATCTGAACTCTAGTCCCTTTGTTCATTTATTTTACTTTCCATATTTATATGTGAAGCACACTTGAAATTGGACTTAGGAATAGTGTGAGGTAGAGGGAAAGAATTTTTTATTATGTAATATATACAGTACCACTTAATAAAAAGAGCAGCATTTGGAGGCTATCCTGGCACTTGCTTTGTAGACCAGGCTGGTCTCGAATTCACAGAGATCCGTCTGCCTCTGTCTCCCAAGTGCTGGGATTAAAGGCGTGCACTGCCAACACCTGACTTTCTTTAACTTTTGTATCATTTTTATTTATGTGTGGTGTGTATGTCTCTGTATGGGTATGTGCATATAAATGAAGGTGCCAGAGGAAGCCAGAGGTGTTAGATTTCCTGGAACTGGAGTTTTAGGCTGTTGTGACCTTCCTGACTTTGGTCCTCTGGAAGAGCAGCAAATGCTCTTAGCTTCTGAGACATCTCTCCAGTCCACATGTTCTTTTTTTCCACATGTTCTTTTAATAGGATGCAAGGGAAGTGTGTTAGAAGCAGCTAAAAGGCATAAAACATTTTTTAAAATTTTGAAACTCATTTTTTTCAAGGTTGAAGAGGACAAGTGCCAAATGCCAGAATTTGATAGAAACATGGAGGTTAGTGAATTCAGCTTTTGTTATTTGGGCCTAGACACCAAGTAACTGGGGGTGGAGAAGGTCAGGCACAGTGTAAATTTGAAATGCTTAGTGAAAAGCAAACTGTTTTTTCCTGTGGGTTATTGCCAATGCTTTTATGGAGTCAAAGTCAGATAATCTGAATATTAATCCAAGTCTTAATCACATACAGAATTTGGCAAGTAATTGCATTATAATTTAACAGCAGAGCTAACAGGAATAAACTGATAATATTTTTGTACATTTCTACTTTATATCATAGGGTACAAGTTGTTTCGTGCTCCCTGGTGTTCTTCCTGACAATGTCTACACAGTCAGAGTAAGAGTCAAAACAAACAGGCTGTGCTTTGATGACAATCACCTGTGGAGTAATTGGAGCAAAGCGCTGAGTATAGGTAAGAGAGTGCCATGTCATTACAGTATAAATCACTGATGGCTGGAAACTAAGGTGCAGCAAAAATAGATTGGGAAAGGGGCTGCCACTGTTTTCTTGATGCCAGAGAACATTTAAAATGCACATTTCTTTTCTATTTAATTACCATCAAATCATCCAGGATTAGTGGGCAACATACAGTTCTTTGAAAGACCACAATCCATGGAGTATTATCCTCACCTCTGCCCCATCTCTGTCTTTATGAGCAAACTGAAAAAAAAACACAGAAGGCAGGCACCATCAAATCTTCAGGCTTTACCATGCCAGAGGACTATCCTGTACGCTAGTTGATAGATTCAGGAAGGTAACAATGAACTTGGTGGTATTTAATAGAGATAAACCCTGTTGGTGGTTATGCTGAGCAGGCCATCCCCAGAAAGATCTGTTTGAATTGTGGAGTTGGGTGCCAGAAAAAATGCATGCACAGTCTTGGATAGCAGGCTGATGCAGCTCACAGGTCAAGATAGTGCTGCAGAGTGAGGCTTCAGTGGTCCATCCCCATAAGAAGTAGAAAGTAAGGCTGAGGACATAGCTCAGTTGTTAAAGTGCTTGCCATGTAAGCATGAGGATCTAAGTTCAGTCCCTAGTACCCACTTACAAAAAGCTTAGCATGTGGTACACACTTGTAATCCCAGTACTCATGGAGTAGGGATAGGAGGATTTCTTGGGCTTACTGGCCAGCTAATCTAGCTGAACTGGTGAGCTTCTGGTTTAGTGAGGGACTCCAAATTTAAAAATAATGTAGAAAAAAATAGAAGACACCTGACATTAACTCTAGTTCATACTTACTCAAACATTTGCACTTGACATGCAAACACACACACACACATAGACACAGACACAGACACAGATACACACACATAGACACAGACACAGACACACACACACAGACACACACACACACACAGAGAGAGAGAGAGAGAGAGAGAGAGAGAGAGAGAGAGAGAGAGAGAGAGAGAGAGAGAGAATGTGGCAGCACCTTTCCCAACCTGTATGTGGAACATCACATTGTAGGAGATACAATGTCTGATTGGAATCTGTCATTCAAATGGTAATGAGGATGTTGGAGAACTTCAAAATTGATAAGGATCTGTACAAGAAGTAACCTCGAGAAGGCATAGCTGTCTAATTCTTTTTTCCTTTTTTTGGTTTTTCGAGACAGGGTTTCTCTGTGGCTTTGGAGGCTGTCCTGGAACTAGCTCTTGTAGACCAGGCTGGTCTTGAACTCACAGAGATCCACCTGCCTCTGCCTCCCGAGTGCTGGGATTAAAGGCGTGCATCACCACCACCCTGCTATCTGTCTAATTCTTAATATTTAAAGCACTGCTGAGAAGAGGCAATTGGTTTTTCTTTTGGTGGCCACTAGGGGCAATATAGAACCAACATGAGACTTTTTTTATTTAATTTTTAAAAATTTTACATACTAACCCCAGTTCCTCCTCCCTAGACTTTTTAAAGCAGCGGTTAAGAGTCAGAGAAATGGGTTTTTGAAGAATGCCATTCCATGTTCACTGAGAGACTGAACAAGCTGTGTGTCAGATATGTTATCTGTTGTTGCAAAACAAAGTACACCAGCATTAATTAAGAATGGTAGCTAATACCTGTAATTCCAGTACTCAGGAGGTTGAGGCAAGAAGATTGGCATAAGTTTGAGGCCAGCCATGGCTGCGTGGTGAATCATAAATCAGCCCGAGCTACAGTGTGACACTGCATCTCAAGAATAAAACAAACAGGAAAACAAAACAAGTGACACCGAAATTTAATATCTCATAATAGCAGACATCTACCACATTCCAGTTTCTATAGGTCGGGAGATTAGTGTAGTTTAGCTAGAGGCTTCCCAAGATTGCATTAGGACTGCAAACAGGACTGTAATCTCATCCAAAGGCTTGACAGAGCCCGGAGTGTCCGCTTCTAGGCACAGTGAAGGGGAAAAGAAAAGAAGAGAGAACATGGAGAAACACTGGGGAGAGGGGAGTCATGTGAAGTTGGAGGAAGATACTGGAGAAAGGTAGCCCCAACCAAGAAACTCTAAAGATTGTGGGAGCTACCAGAAGCTGGAAAAAATGGGAGATTTTTTTCCCAGAGCCTTCAGAAGGAGCATGGCCTTGCCAGTATCTTGATTTTGAACTTTTTACCTCCAGGACCATGAGATAAAAGTTTTGGTTTTCCTTGCTGTAATCTGCAACAGTGGGAAACTAATAGAAATATATTTTTTAAAGTTCCCTGTCCCCGTAGGCTTTTCTACTGGGCTCCCTTCTGACATAGAAAGCAGCTTCCCAAGTGAGCAATCCTAGCAAGAAAGGATATGTAAGAGAACAGCCGTGTGAAAACAGTGATCCACCATCACTGACCTTGGAAATAAGAGACCAGCACTGGTGCTGTTCTGTTATTTAGAAGTGAGTCAATTAGTGCAACCAGTGTCAAGAAGGGGGATTATACAAAGGTATGATCATTGGGAGGCAGGAATTTTTGGGGGGTCATTTTAGAAGTTCCCTAAAAGAAGGGCATTAGGTCCTGATGATGCTTTCTGCATCTCCATGCCCATGTGAAAGATGAACATAGAAATAGATAAATACCCTTCCATGTGTTAAGTGTAGAAAAACAGAGTTTGCAATTGGACAGATCTACATTGAAGCCTGCCTGGACCTTATCTCCTACATAGATCTGAGAGAATATTGTCTAACAGATGGAATAGCTCAGAGATAAGCATGTCAGAACACCTAATATGGTACTGGACTTATAGGGTAAGAATCACAGTTGTGGCCGTTGTTAGGTTTATTTTAATATTTGGTAGTGGACAGTAAGAAAGTATGGTAGTAAGTCTTTTAGTAAACAGTAAGAAAGGATGGACAGTTAAACTGGTGGTTGGTGGCACACACCTTTAGTCTCAGCACTGGGAGGCAGAGGCAGGTGGATCTCTGTGAGTTTGAGGTCAGTCTGGTCTACAGAGTGAGTTCCAGGACAGCCAGAACTGTTACACAGAGAAACCCTGTCTTGAAAAGCAAAAATAAGTATGGTTGAGGGTCACCACAATATGAGGAATTTTATTAAAGAGTTGCATCATTAGAAAGGTTGAGAACCGCCCACAGGTGGTGGTGCACGCCTCTAATTCCAGCACTTGGGAGGCACAGGTTGGTGGATGTCTATAAATTTGAGGCCAGCCTGGTCTACAGAGTGAGTTCCAGGACAGGCTTCAAAGCTGCACAGAGAAACCCTGTCTCAAACAAAACAAAACAAAACAAAATAAAATAAAAAAACAGGAAAGAAAAAGAAAAGAAAAGAAAAGAAAGGACAGCCATTGTTAATAGATATGGAATCTTTTATTTAATACTGTTTAAAACAAGTTAAGATTCCCTCGTTGCAAACAGTCCTTATTGTGATTACTGTGCTTGGGCATCAGAGCAGGATAATGTTTCAAACTCTTATAAGATAATTGAAGAATTTAGGGGAAATGAGTTGAGGCATAGGAAAGAAATATCTGTGATCTCACTAGCAAATAGAATTGTCGCCTGGATCATTACAAAAAAGAATTGGTAGTTCTCATGTCTTCATGTTTGCTTTCTATTCTGTAGGTAAGGAGCAGAACTCCACATTCTACATAACCATGTTACTCATCATTCCAGTCATTGTCGCGGGCACAGTCATTGTCCTTCTTCTTTACCTGAAAAGGTAAGCCACGGTCTAGGCAGATTTACACTTCCTGCTAGCCTGGGTGCTATGCTTATTACCCTTCATGCTGGTGCAATGTCAGGCACATCAGTGTGTCTGTTTTGTGGTAAAGGAAACATCAGTGAGTTTCCCACAGCACTGCTCTGGCATGGCTCCTTGTGTAAATGTTTTAACATTGCTAAATAGACCCTGCGCTTTGTTCATTGACTCTTTTCATGCCTGATTTATCCACAGCTATTTGGCAACTCTCAGAATGAACTTTTAGAAATAGGGGATTAAGGGAACTAGCAGGACATCTCATTGAGTAAGGCATTTACCAAATAATCTTGGTGATGTAAGCTTAATCCCCTAGAGCCTGTGTAAATGTTTAAGGAAAGAACCATTTCCACAGTGTTGTCCTCTGACCTTTATATGTTCACACATGGCATATTCACCCATGTGTGAACATGTGTGCTTCCTCAGAACCTCATGCACAATTAAAAAAAAGATATTGGGTCTGGGAGTGGAGTTCAGTTGTAGAACACAAAGTTAGCATTTTTGAGACTGATTTAATTTCCAGCACCAACAAAGAAAAAGACAATAAATGAATTATCTTGCTAATAAAATGACTTTCCTAGTGTTAATGCAAACCAGACTGCAACCCCATGCCACAGCAAAGAGAACTCTGGTAGAGTATCATTAATATATTCTACTAATTCCTTAAGAATGTTTTCACTGCTGAGCGTGTTGGTGCATACCTGTAATCCCAACACGTGGGAGGTGGGGGAAAAGAGAAGCAGGAGTTTAACTATTCTCAGCTATACACTGAACTCAAGGCCGCCTTTTGCTTCGAGAGACTGTGTGTCCGAAAAGAGAAAGGATGTTTTATTTCCCTTTACCAGTATATGTTAAGAGAAGCTTTTTCCTTGAGAGAAGCTTTCCCGCCAGCCTGGTTCTAGAGCTGCATCAGTCCCAAATAAACACACAGGAGGCTATATTAATTATGAAGCTGTTGGCCTTGTTTGTTTCTTACTGGCTAGCTCTGACTTAAGTAATTACCCCATAATTGTTAATTTAAGTATGTCTCTTACCGGAGAGGTTTCCAGGCTTCCTACCCCATAGCGTTACATGTTGACTCTCCTGTGTTTCTCCTTCCCAGAATCCTCCTGGACTCCTAGCCCCACCTATCTAGATTCCTATTGGCCAGCAGTAATTTATTGACATATACACAGGACTTCCCCAACAAGTATAGAGATGGTTGCTGCTCTTATAGTAAATACTCAAGATTGGAATGGAAGTATTGATCTGGAGCTAGAACCAATGCTTTAGCATTATTTTTTCATTATATGTTACATATCTATTTGTGTACTAGTTACTATTCAAAGTGCCAGACTTATGGCAGTGAATAGAACACAGGCCGTATCTATATATTTGGAGGGGATAGCACAAATACACAGTAGGAAGTCAGGTTGGCAGAGGTAGAGGTAGGCAGTGATAGGAGACTGATTTCATATAAGGTGGTCAGGGAAGTCCTCTCCAAGAAGATGATCATTTGATGAGAGACATAAAATAAAGGCATGGACTATTCAAATACTTGTCCAGACCAACAAAAAATCAAGTACCAAGGCTCAGGGGCTGAAATGAGCCTGCCATGTGTGGCTGGAAGAGATGGGGTGAGGGAGAGTGGCCAGAGATGAGACTGGAGAAGCTGGCATATGGGATCAGGTATGGCATGTGGTAAGAGACCTTGCAATACCCTAAGCAGGTGATTTGTACGGTCTCTTGCACTCTTACATGTAGGATCATATCACTATTAAAGACTTTTGGGGGCAAGAATAGAAAGCAGGTGTGTTAGAAGGCATTGACGGAAGCATGAAAGAGCAGTGTGTATTTTTGTTTGTTTGTTTGTTTGTTTGTTTTGTGTTTTGATACAGGGTCTCCCTATGTTGCCTTGGCTGGCCTGAAAATCTTTATGTAGATCAGGCCAGCTTCAGGCTCACAGAGATCCATTTGTTTTTGCCTCTGTGTTCTGGGATTAAAGACATTTAACACCACACCTATTGAAAGCAATCTGTACTACAGGGTTAGGCACGGAGGAAGGAAGAAGTGGTTAGATAAATGTGGGATATATTTTGAAAGCTCACATTAACAAGGCTTGCTGATGGCTAATAACTTAGGAAGGCATGAGGGAAATTGAATATTCCAGAGTTTGACCTTGAACAGCTGAGTGTCAGTGGCATTTCCTGAGATGGGAAAAACTGTGAGGAGAGCTACCTTTGAAATAAAGGGGAGGATTTCAGTTGTTAATCCATTGTTGGAGATGCCTAGTAAGTATCCAAGTAGATTTGTACAGTTGACAACTGTATACATGAATCTTGAGTTTAAGGAAGTGTTCTAAGGTGGAGATAACATTTGGGGAGTAGGTTTAGAATGATTAAAGAAAGCACTTAGATGGAGATACAGGAGGACATAAGACTGAATCATGGGGTACACCTGGAGACACACCCTGAAAGGTGTGGCAGGCCCACAAGAAAGAGAGGAGAGGAGGGGGCTGAGGATGTGGCTAGTTAGCAGCTAACTTTTCTGGCATGTGCATCATTCGGATTGAAAAATGTGAAAGAGCAATAAGAAAGGAATAAATGATCAGATTTTTGACTGTGTAAAGTGGTGCATGCATGTAATCCTAGGACTTGGGAGGTAGAGGCAAAAAATCAGGAGTTCAAGGCCACCCTTAGCTGTATATCAAATTTGTGGACAGCTGAGCAACAAGAGATGCTGTTTAGACACAAACCCTGATCAACCAAACAAATAAAAATAACACCAATAAAAAAGAGATGGGGGGCAATGCTGAGCATTGAATCTAAGCACTTACACATGCTATAGGTAAGCACTATAAGCACGAAACCATATCCCCAAATCACTTCTTACTGTTCAAGACAGGCTCTAAGTTACTTAGGCTGGGCTTAAACTTACTCCATAGCTCAGGCAGCTTTAAACTTGCAACCTTCCTGTCTCAAGCTCCTGAGTAGCTGAGATTACACTTCTGTGCCATTAGAGTAAGATTGTGTGTGTGTGTGTGTGTGTGTGTGTGTGTGTGTGTGTATTCTCAAAATTATAAAAAGCAAGCTTCTTTCTTATCTGCTGAGATTATGCCCCGTCACAATTTAGCCATGGCTGGCCTGGAATTTGCTATGTAGATCAGGCTGGCCTTGAGTTCACAGAGATCCACCCACCTCTGCCTCCTGAGTGCTGGGATTAAAGATGTGTATCACCATGTCCACCCCCCATTATTCTTTAAGTGATATGATTAATTTAAGTTGGTACCTTATTTCCTCTATCCAGAGTTGGCACTCTGAGGACACTGATTTCCTATAGCCATTTAAACATGTTTTTCACAATTCCCTGAAAGTGACTCGTGTGCTGTGACTTTTGCATGCCTATTTTTAATATTGCTGTCTTTATGTGAAAGACTCCTCTGCACTGGAAGGTTTGATCCAAAAAAAATCTCTGTTTTCTTAAAGGCTCAAGATTATTATATTTCCTCCAATTCCTGATCCTGGCAAGATTTTTAAAGAAATGTTTGGAGACCAGAATGATGATACCCTGGTAAGCACTACCCTCCATAGGGATTGAAATAGGTTATGAGGTTTGGAAAACTTATGGCAAAATACACATAACATGAAATTGACTATTCCAGTCATTTCAAGTATATAGTTCAGCACCCTCCTGTACATTTTCAGCATTTTACAAGCACCATCAGTATCTACTTCTAGAACTTGTTCATCATCCTCAGTGGAAACTGTACCAAACTCTAACTTCTTGATCTTTCATCCCTTCCCCCTACCATCCACTATTCTATGTTCTGCTCTAGGTTATCTCATATATATGGAATCATGAAATGTTGGTCTCATTGAGTTTGGCTTATTTTATTTAGCATCATGTTTTCAAGGTTTATCACATTGTGCCATGTATCAAAATTCTTCAGGTTGGTTATAGTGTGTGTGTATGCATGTGTTGGAAGGATTATACATGTTGAGGCCAGAGGATGGTGTTGGGGGAGGCTTACTCTATCAATCCCTGCATTATTCCTTTGCAAAATGGTTACCACTGAACCTGAAGTGGGGCTGCTGGGAAGCATGTGATCCCACTGCCCCTGCCCTCCACAGGTGATTCCCCATCCCTGCTGATGTGTGGGGTTACACATATCAGCAGACATACCCAATTTTTTAAATGGATGCTGATATTTCAAACTCAGATCCTCATGTTTACACAGCAAATGAGTCACCTCCCCAGGCCAAAATTGGTTATTTTAGACTCCACGTGATCTAAAAGATGAAAGAGTTGATTTAAAAGTTGAATATTTGGCCAGTCATACCAGCTAAGAAATTCTCAAAACACCCTGTCTGTCTCGTGGCACTGGACCCCATCCTCTTTGTGAGGAATAAGATATTTTGTCTAAACACATAGGAGGAAGAAGAGTCTCCTTTGGGAAACTAACATAATGGACAATTTCAACTTCTAGATGCTTTTTAAATGTTGATGAGATAAATATAAATAGGATTCATGGTTAAGATGCATGTTGTTCATACAGCTTCATTAGAAGGCTGGACTCTAAGCACATTCAAAGAGAACAGACCCGCCTCAACCCATGGTTTCCTGCAGACTTTCATGCTAGACCCTGGAGATTTAAGACATGGGAACACAAGAGTTTGAGCTTTCTATTATAAATGCATTCACTCTAATGAGATAATGAAGAACATGTATGAAGTAAATATTAATAGCACTGTAGATAGCTTAAATTAGTAATAATAGGCATAGGTCAGTTCATTTAGTGAAGCACTGTAGTGTACTAGATAATAGCCTGGGTTCTGGAGTCACAATGTCTGGATTCCGATATCTACTGTGTCATTTACTGTCTTTTTGACCTTAGGTCACTTGCTTATCATTTCTGTAACTGCTTTTCCCATTTACAAAGTGGTAGTAGGAGTAGCACCTGCCTCATATGGATTAAAATTCATACAGAGCACAATAACAGTAAAAAAATAGTTAGCATGCTTCACACTTTAGACATGCTTACTGTATGTTATCAGTGAGTAGTGCCTTTGAAAATAATATTCATTTATTGTTGACTCTCATAATAACAGATTGCTCATACTGGCAATGATGCTATTTGGCTAGGGGCAGGAAGTGGAGAGTCTGACAGGGTGTCAGAGAAGGATTATTATGGAGCACTTTAATTTTTAAAAGTAGATTGGTTTTGTAGAGAGTGGTGATGCCCAGGCCAAGGTACCACTGGGCAGGTAGGTCCAGCAGTCTACAAGAAAGATTGTATAACACAGGTAAAGTTAGTGTGGTAACTAGTGCTCCTTTAACTACACTTGAGTCATAGTCTGCTAGAATTCTTACAAGAAGTACAGGTCCCTAGGCTCTGTCTCCAGAAATTCTGGCAGCAAGTCAGGAGTGAATTCTACAAATCTGCTTATTTAAAAAGAGGCCATAGATGATTTCTGTCCTGGTAAAGCCACCTGTATACTATGTTGTTCTTGTGTCAACAACTACTCTAATAAATGCTGGAAGCAGTTATTGAGCATCTAGTGTATGTCAGGGAGGGCAGTGAGTGCTTGGCCTAAGTTAACTTATTGAATCCTCAGAACCACCCAACAGTGTAGGTGCCTGTGAGGGCTGGTGCTATTGACCTGATGGGCTCTAGGATTACCTGGGAGATAGGCCTTGGCACATGCCTCGGGGGACTATCTTGATTACGTTAGTTGATTCGAGAAGGCTCATTGGATGAGACCATTTCCTTGGCAGTGGATCCTGGGTAGAGAAAGCAAGGCGAGTGTTAGTATGCATTCATCTGTTTTCTGTTTGCGGATGTGAGGCAATGAGCTGCTTCAATCTTCTAATGTTTTGATTTCTCTGCTATGAGCTGTGAGCTAAAAAAATTTCTCCATTAAGTTGCTTTTGTCTGGAGCATTTTATCACAACAGTGAGAAAGCAATTAAGACAGTTCTGTTAGTATCATTTTTTTCCAGATGAAGAAATAGAGACTCAGTGAGGTCTAGAAACCTGGCCATAGTCACACAGCTGGTTGTGAGATTCTGGAGTTCCCTTGCTTTGCCCCCTGTGCTTTGTCACTTCTTATATGATAGACTGCTTGTCCTTAAGTACCTCTTGCCTTCTACAAGGTTGGTTTGACAAGCGAGAGTTAGGATAGAAGAGTTAGGAGAAAAAGACTTGGGATTGTATTATGGATTGCATGCAGTGAGAAGGTATGAAGAATACCATTCCCACTCTAGCGGTACGGATTAGAGAAAGGTTCATGCGTGGCCTCAGACTGGAAGTAGACCTGGTTTGCAACAGTATATGCTTTTGTTTGCCGGTGTGACTTACTTAAAATCCTCCCATTTGGAATAGTAGCAGAGCATGCACTCTCCCATTCACCTCCACTCCGCCATTTCCAGTTCCACTGTACTGTCATTTTGGCCTCAATGTCAGGCCACGGAAAGACATTTAACTTTGTTCCTCTGCTCAGCAGGATGGAGACTAGCTAAAATGCCACAATGCAAATGTGCAGTGTCTGTAGACAAACACCAAATGCACAGCTCATGCCAGCCAAAGTACTGATGAGTCATGTGGTGGTTTGAATAAAAATGCTCCCTTATAGGCTTATATGTTTGAGTACTCATTCCCCAGATGGTGGAACTGTTTAGGAAGGATTATGAGGTGTGGCCATGTTGGGGGAGGTTGTATTGGGTTTCCTAAGCCACACCAGGCTCAGTTAACTCTCTGCCTCATGCTTTCGGGTGAGATATGAGCTCTTAGCTGCTCCTCCAGTGCCACGACTGCCAACATCTCAGCTGCTATGCTCCCCCACATGATGGTCAATGACTCTAACCCTCTGGAACTGTAAGCCTCCTTGGAACTCTTCTGTAAGTTGCCCTGGTCATAGTGTCTCTTTGTAGGAATAGAAAAGCGACTAAGACAAGGTCTAAACTGCCAGCCTAATGTATTTTTAAAAGAAACAATATCTATTTCTTAACAAGCAGGCAAGAAAGTGGCACTTGTCATGCATTGTTAGTGGCCCTACATACAGGTTGAGTGTCCCTTGTCTAAAATGCTTGGGAACAAAAGGATTTTTCCAACTTTGGAATATTACATAGACTTTACTGTTTGATCTGAAAATTAGAAATCTAAACTTCAGAAATTTTTTTACAGTATCTCACTATGTAGCCTTGACTAGCTTGGAACTCACTAGGTACACCAGGCTAGCCTTGAATGCGGGGTTCTCCGTCTGCCCTGCCTCCTTAGTGTTAGGGTTAAAGGTGTATAGTACCACAGCACCATAGCCAGACAAAATACAGAACTTTTAAAGCATCATACCACTGTGCAAACAGTTTCAGATTTGGTGCATTTCAGAATTTTTTTTGGAATCAGGGTTGTTTAACCTGTATGTCTTTTCTTGACAACAACAATATAATGTGCATCTTTGCTCATGTAAATTATACTCTTGGAATTCATATTCAGGGAATAACCAAACAATGACACAAGAATGACCCATACATCATTTTGTTCTAATGTGAAAACCTAGAAACCAGTGAGTTACTAACAATTCAAAAACTTATTTTGTTTTCTAGAACACAAATATACTGAGGAAAATAGTAGAGAATCAATAGATAAATCAAGTGAACTTAACATATAAATAATGCCATTAAAAATTAACAGATAAATGAAAACCAAAATGAATGGAATAATAGAATTTTTCATGAACAGATTAAATATTTGAATCTCATATATTTCTGTCCAACTACCAGAAAAGTTTAATAAAACATCTAAAGTGAACTGGGGGTGCATTATATTTAACGATAGTGAAAAGTTAACAGCTTTCTGACAGAAAACAGTTTACTTATAAAATAAGATGGCTGCAGTTCGACTTTCTATCCACAGCACTTACATAGGGAATAACATCTTAAATTGATTTTTTTAAAAAGTTAGGTGTCATAGAATAGTAACTCAAAAAAAAGAAGAAAACTGCACTCATAAGAGTACAAAACAAATTATAAATATACAATCCCAATTTTTAGAAGACTATATTCGATACACATAGAACAATGAATAGAAAGAACTGGGTCAGAGGGATTATGGGTAGCTGATACTCTTCATCTATCTCCCTGAATTTTCCAAATTGCCTATAATAAGCATGTATTACTTTTGCAATGAAAGAAACCATGTACAAATCATTAATGAGGAGGAAGACTATTGTAGTCATCTGGGTCTGGGAGATAATGGAGACTTGGGCTTATATGGTGGCAGAGGAGACTGATAATAAGACACATTATTACAGGAATGCACTCTGACTTCGTGACTCTGTGTGGGTGATGAAAGGTAGGGAGAATAGAAAATAATTGTGAGTTTTCAGTTCTGCGTGATAGAGTGAATGATGGCAACACCGACAGCAAAAATCAAATCAATTATCTTTCTCAGAGACAGGAAAATTGCGGGGGATTTTTCAATTTGCTGTCTAGAGGATAATATGTTGTTTTTGTCCCGATGAGTCAGATAATTCTGTAATTTCGTGTCCATATTGACAAGATGGACCACTGAAA